ATAAATAAGAACGATGTAAGTTTTCCATCCTCTTGAAATATGATAAAAATTTATGTCATAATGTTTGTAGATTGTATTGTTACTAGTGGGTCTATAAGTCATATTTATCTGTCTGCCTCAGGGGCTAGATTATGTGATAAATTTGTTAAGGGTGGCTAAGTAATATTCATACCTCAGTCCATGAGAAACACCCGCTCTAAGCATGCGGTTGTGTCGACTCGCACATAAACTTTGGTGTCAGTACAGATATACTAATCTAGTAGTTACTTTATACAAGCAAATGACGCATATAAACAGTACTTATTTCAATTTTATAATATTAATAAAAGATAATAATAAATAACAGATGGTTGATTTTTTGCAGTTTTTGGAAACAAAAGATTTTATTGTTTAACTCAAATTTCTTTATAACAGTCTTGGCTCCAAAGTGAATATTTAATATTTTAATATATTAACTACAAGTTGTTTGACCACATTCAGATTTCATACTGTCGAAGTTTTGATCAAGTACAATTTTTTTTATTATTAAAAGTACCTAAGAACTATAAGAAATTGTCTTCAAACATGGGTATTGAATTGATATAAATAAAGTTCTTCGAAAAAAAAAATAGTCACAACGAATATATTTATTCCCGTTGTTATACATATACAACTATGCAATATCATAAAAGTGAAGTACTTTAAAATAAAAGTTTAATTCATTACTTTGCGATTTTCAGAACCTACACTAATTTAATAGAAAAGTTGTAGAAGTGGAAATATTTCTGAAAACGTTAGTAAGAAATTATTTGGTGCATAATCGTTTAAGAATTAATTGATTTAATGTAATTGTGTAAAAGTATTTTGTTCAACACATTTTTATTTTAACTTAATAATAGGCACAACAACATTTTACAGTTACTTTCTGGAGTTCTAGTTTAGAAGTCTATTAGGCACTATAAATTTATTTGAATATAACACACATTTGATTATATCTTAGGGAACTATTACCGGGATCTCTTATCCATGGTCACAAATAGTGGTCATAATCTGATCAATGCTACGGTTCGTTCATCCGCCGTAAACGTTGTAGTAAAATAGGACGAAAATGAAATATATTTTTTTTAATTCAACAAATACTTCCAAAAACGTTAATTTATAATCAAAACTTGAAATTTCCATGACGAGATCGTACGTAATAAATATAATGAAACTGACCCGTCCCTGTCTCTTTTGCTAAAATAGGCTTGTTGAAAGGATACATTGAGTTGTTCAGATTAAAAGTAGAGCAATCAATTAATTAAAGGTATATTACCTGATTACTTCAAGATAATAAAAACCGAGCATGGTTTCGTTCTTACATAGGATTTTAATTTTCTTAATACATGTATTAATTTAGATAATGCAATCTATTTAATTCATTTTAAAATATTACATTTTTAAAAATCCTGATATAAAATAACTATTTTTTTTTGTTTAAAAAGAAAAGCATTCGTCTATACTTCTGCAAATTAATTATCATTGATTTAGCAATAATAGCCATATTTATTTCATCGTATCGATAGGCAACTTATCTTAAGACAATATTTGTATTAATAATGGAGAGTTAATCGAAACCTTTAAGAAGAAGAAGAATCACGTTAATATAGTTTACTTTAAACATTGAGCAAATAAAAAATATATGTAGTTTCTAAGAAGGGTTTCTATAAAAACGTCTTGAGAACGATGTTTAGATTTAACGAAATTTTATTGATTTACTGAAAGAATATTTTATATTAATGTCATACATGACGTACCTAAACAACCTAAAATGGAAAGGAATATATGTACTTTAACTACAAAACCTTTTTTGTTTATATCAAGAACTCAAGTTTAAAATCTAAATTAATAGTTCTCGGCCCAGCCTTGTTATTTCTAAGGAAATTAATTTCTTTCTAAAAAGATAATTATAAAGCGATATTAGTTTTTTATTCTCCGCTTGCTAGGATGTGCAACCTTTACAACTTACTAAATAAAGAAATAACAGACTTGGACATGTTTCGCGATTCATATTCAAAATTTAGACATACCTTGCAAAAATATTTTTAAAATTGTAACTTTTCGCTTTCAATTTATGTGTTGTTGTTATTAATTAGTGTTGTTTTTTTTTCTTTTTTTTTGTAGATGTAGTTTAATTTAATTAGATTAAGGTGTTGTTGTTAAAAACTTTTTAGACAATGCTGTGACTACCTGCAATAGGTGTACATATGGAAGAGCGGCGTGTTTGGCGTTCCCGGCACGCTGCTCTTGAGTCGGAGGGGTGGTGTGGTCAGCCACTGATACCCCTGCCGAAGGCGGAGTCCCTTTCGGGACTCGTGCGTAGTGAGCGGAAGTATGGCTTGCCGTTCCCGCTCACTAGTCTACGCACAGAGCAGAGAACGCCGAGGAGTTAGGGGGTGGAAATCCCACACGCCCCCGCCGTGTTTTCCCCCGCGGCGGGAAGTCTTTGAAAGATTCTCCTCGTTAAAAAAAAAGGTGTACATATGGAGACTATACTTTTAAATGTTGCATATGTGTACTGTTGGTGTTTCTAAGTAAATAAATAAATAGTTTTAATATACCTATGCATCATTGGAAATAAAATTTTTTTAAATCTTATAGTCTTTATATTTTTGAATATATGCAAACTACTAATATTTCTTTCTGGTGCCGCGCATTTGTAACTCACTGCTATATAAGTAGAAAGAGTAAGCACGATAACTATTGTTCTTACGTAATCAAAACTGATACAGACTAATGGACACCGCAACACGTTCACAAGACTAAGTTATAGAAGATATTTTGGGTCTCTTTATTTGATATGCGTTCCTGTAGTCTAATGAACAAAACTTGTGTTATTTCAATTTGGATGTTCTCAAGGTCTTCTGAAGAGTCACATCTACATAGTAGTATGTCCAGTCACAAAATAGTGGCCATAGCTCACTAACTAAATTGTCTGCAAAATAATCCTGTATCCCAATGAAATAATAATTACACTTTCATCCCCTGACATTTTCTTAATTTGACTTTTAATTTGTAAAATTAATATTTCAGAATTTCTCTTATGTGAAAACTAAAATAGAAAAAAAATAAGCTCAATAATTCCATATGACCCTTAATTATATTATTCTTAGTAGAATATAATATAAAATCTTCTATATATATAAAAATGGATTGCTGTTCCTTAGTCTCGCAAAAACTCGAGAACGGCTGAACCGATTTGGCTAATTTTAGTCTTGAAATACTCCTGGAAGTCCAGGACAGGTTTAAAAGGTGAGAAAATTTGGAAAAATTGCCGGGAAAACCCTAAAAACTGCCCTTTTCTATTTCCCATACAAACGATTTTTTGACATTAGACTTGACAACTAACTAATATGTCAATCATTCTGTTCGATTGAAACAGTAGAAATTTAATAAATACCAATACTGGGTTATTGAAGACGGAATAGAGTTTGCCCGGTCTGCTATGCCTATATTACTAATGACGAAATTAACGCGGACGAAGTCGCGGGCAAAAACTAGTCATTTATAAATATTCAATGACGGATCCTTAATATTTAAACTGCGGAACTTCTCACAAAAAAAAAGTAGTAGCAGTGCGCGAAAGAGACACCGACTCACTTTTCGATTGTTTTTCGATTCAATTCGATTTCGTCGAATTGACATCGCTCAAGGATTTTAAGTGTTAAAATTATGTTACATGTTAGTTTTAAGGCTATATTAAGGATATTTATCTATAAGTAGTTTATTTAGGTATACTGGTGTTAGCAATTAATTATTTTGTTCGTTTTTTTTTGCCCCTTAATTAACCTTTTACATTTGTTAATTTGTATTAAAAACTAGTTTTTGCCCGCGACTTCGTCCGCGTTAATTTCATCATCTTCTTCTTCTATATACATATATAAAAATGGATTGCTGTTCCTTAGTCGCGCTAAAACTCGAGAACAGCTGAACGGATTTATCTTAGTTTTGAAATGTTCGCGGAGGTTCAGGGAAGGTATAAAATCTAAAAAAAATTGATTCACTACTGGGAAAACCATAAAAACAGCCCTTTTCTATTTCCCATACAAACGTTTTTTTTTGTCAATCATTCTGTCGCACTTCAAAACACGCAGATTTATGGCTTACAGGTAAACTCCAAAAATATAAATAAAAAACGTAATAGATATTTCTTGATTATAGGGCGATACGAAGTTCGCCAGGTCTTCTAGTTAGTAATATATGTATAGCTGACCGGGCGAACTATATTCCGTCCTAGAAGCCATAAATAATCTGGTTTTTCCTGTTTCAATCGAACAGAATGATTGACATATTAGTTAGTTGTCAAATCTAATGTCAAAGAAAACATTTGTATGGGAAATACAAAAGGGCTGTTTTTAGGGTTTTCCCGAAAATGAATCAATTTTTCTCACCTTTTAAACCTTCCCTGAACCTCCACGAACATTTCAAGACTAAGATAAAATAAATCCGTTCAGCTGTTCTCGAGTTTTAGCGAGACTAAGGAACAGCAATCCATTTTTATATATATAGAAGATAGAAGACTAGTTGTCATATTGTCAAATGTCATACTGTTAATTTCGTTATAAAATTTTTAACGTAATTATTAAATTTAATATTTGTATATTGAATCAGCCTAACTGTGGCTGTAAACTGACATCAAACAACTGTTAACTTCAATATTTAAAATTTCTGAGTTCAAAGGTTAGTAATAATAATTGACAACAAACGTCGTAATTACTATTATAACATTTATTTATTTAAACATAAAATACTTCATTAACATAGTTTATTAATAAATGCCAGTTAAAGGTAATTCCTGTTTATCACTTTTCTTATAATTTCTATCATGTCAAACACATAATCAGTTTTGTAAGAAACACTCAATGTTATGACATCTTATAAAAGATTATTATGTATAACTAAAAATAATAATATTTATTATTTTTTATCAAAGAAACATAAAAAATATATGTTTTACAATATTATTTGAATTTAATAAATTTTTATGCTTTCAAAGTATAATTTGAATCCATAACTTTCGATTGAGTGACAAGTGGTGGCAAGCTAGATGGAAGTGGTTCTGCAATGTCTTGTTTGAAGAAGTCATCTGAATCAAACACTTCTGACTCCTTTATTTTGTCGCTGAAAAAATAAATAAATCATATTAAAAAGCAGAATATAAAAAATATATATATGTATTACGCAATATTTTAAAGTACATACCACAATTGCTGGGAAATAACACTGCGGATACGCGGTTCTGGTAGCGAGGAAAAATCGGAAGCGAGAGTCATAGTATAAGCTCCTTGGTTGGGGAATATGAGCCAATCATCAGTAGTACAAGGTGGTAACATAACTTCAACGTTCTCCATCACACGATCTACTGAGTCACATGTTGGACCCCATAAAATTACGGGTTCCAATTGTTCGCCTTCTTTACACTCCTTGAAAATTAATTTAAAATATATACAATAATATATGTTTTTATGATCGCTACATACGAATATATGTATAATGCTACTGAAGTTTTGAAGAAAGGATCAATTAAGTTGCATATTCAAAATATATACATAAAATTGAAACAAACCTTATACCGCTTGACGGTGTGCCATGGTTCATTATATCGCAAACAACCAAACAATCCGTCATTTAAATATAACATATTCATAGAAGAGTCACCAACTTTTACCTAAAAATATAACTGAGTCAAAAGTTTTTCCTATTTATACGATTTTTTAAAGAATTTTTAGTTTTCATTACCGGTCGCACTGTGTTAATATTGCAATATAAAGTAAATGCTTTATCGCACAGGTAACGTCCTGGTTCAGCGATCACTTGGATATTTGGGTCAGGAAAGAGTTCATCCAAAGTTTTATTTATGAGCTTAGATACCTATAAAAATATTAATATGATTTAAGAGATACCTATTTTAGAGATAGAAATACATGTGCGTATTTCTAAAAGATATAACTGGATGTCAATTTTAATAACACGTAACAATTTTTCTACTAACCTAGCATTTAAAATACAAATTGAATGTACAATTTTTCAAACATATGATAGAATAACATAGTATCAATTCTGGTAATAAAAGAAAATCTAAATTGTTTTCTAATAATTGAAGTTCTATTATCATTAGTAACAATATTTATGTATTTTTAACAATAAGCAGAAACATGACAGGGTACCTCATCTATTCTTTCAATTTTATCACTCATATATCCTCCTCCAATATCAACAATTTCCATTTTCCGTCCCGCCTTAGCCTCATGCTCGAACAATTGCTTAGCTTGTTGTAGTCCCATGACATAACTGTCTGGTGATGTACAACCACTTCCTACATGGAATGCTACCCCAACCACCTACAGTAAAAATTATATTCTATTTACATCATATGGTCTTCAAAGTTAATGGTGGCCTAGTGATGGCCTTTTGGCCCTCCTCTCATGAATGAGGAAGCGGGTTTGATCCTGGCAAGTACCAATGTGATATTTTCGAGTCATATGTACTTTCTGAGAGTATATAGACACCAGTGACAGACGGTGAAGGAAAACATCGTAAAGAAACCTGGACTTATAATTTCACAATTGTAAGTTTGAAATCACCAACCCATCTTGAGCAAGCTTGGTGATTAATGGTCGTAAAAAGGCGGCAGGCGGCCGGTCGTAAAAACAATAAGCCAAAACTATTTACAAAAATGTAAGGCAGACCCTGGCTAAGGCTGGGAAGTTGCCAGGAAGACGAAGCAGATCATATTGTCTTTTTATAAAAATAATACATATATATATATATATATATATATATATATATATATATATATATATATATATATATATATATATATATATATATATATATATATATATATATATTTATACTATACATATCAAAAATTTAACAGCTTTAATAACTTACCCGGATATTGAACCGTGCAGCTTCTTCTAGTAGATCAATAGCTTCTGTTTCAAAATCGCAACCAAACTTCTTACCTAAATCGTAGACACTGTCACCGTGAACTCTAATCCGCAGTAATAAGCTGCAAAAAGAATATTTCACCTGATTAAAATAATAAAACAATGTATACATATACAATTTATTTAATCATTTATTTAATTTAAGAAAAAGCATTAAAAGTTAAAATAATTACTTTGCCTCTGGCCAATACTGTTTTATTTTTTTTAGTTCACAAATGTTGTCAAAAGTAGCATGTTTAATCCCGGACTGTCTTGCATATGAGATCCACTCTGGTGTTTTTGTCGGAACAGCTAAAATTATGCTCCTGAGTAAAAACAAAACTGTATTAATGACGTTTGTGTCGGTTATATTTATAGAAGTTTTCACGCGGATGGTGAAAAAAGTCAAGTTTTGACAAAAATATGTTTTAACAAAACTTACTGTGGTGATACTTTGAGTTTTAATATTCTATATATTTCGCCCGGTGAAGCACAATCAAAGCCAACACCAAGTGAAGCGGCTAATTTTAACATCATGCAACTATCGTTGGATTTCACCGCTAAAACATGTTTAGTGTAAAATTTAAATATTACATAGTTTTAAGACAATTAAAAAGAAAAATAAATACACCACCATAAAACATTTTGATTCTTGGCATCATTTTTCTGAAGTGTTGTATGAACTGGTAAGCCTTGTCCATATCAAATATATAAAAAGGCTCTTTCTGAAGTCCACTTTCTATCATAGCTCTAGCTACATCTTCAGAAGTATTGTTTTCTAATACTAAGGCCTTCGAGACTCTCTTTTCATACACCATTTTTTTATATAAACCTGTATGATAATAGGAAAAAAATATCAACCACAGATTATTGTTAAAAAGATATATTTAGGATAATATTAAAAAAAATATAATTCTTTTTAATAAAATAGTATAATTGTATAAGAAAAATACTGAAAAGTTAGAAATTTAATATTTTTCTAATGTTTGATTCTTACCTGAGCCTTTTCGAATAACAGAGCATATAACTGCCAACTCACGTTTGGACTGTGCAAGACACGATTGGTTTATAAATATAGGAAACATTTATCATATATTTACTTTCTAGCGTGATAATATAATTAGTTTAATTTAAAATCACAACCGGTGGAATCTGATAATGAGTCTAATAATAATTATGTATGTCAACCAAGATTTAAAGTTCTTAAAAAGACATCAATAATTTTATTATAGTACCGACTACCTATAAATTTGGTCTGAGACCAGTTTTCCGACAACGCACTAATTTAAAAAAATGTATTGTTATTTCTACCCTTAAAATCCATAGGTATTACAAAAAGAGCATTGAAAATAAATATTTTTTTATTTAAACAATGTTCTAAGAACGGTTTAATGTTTGAGTTACTAAAAATTCAAAAATTAAATAAAAGAACATACATTAACTATTATTTTATACTACACCATAACTAGGACTATATATCTACTATACACTGCCTGACAATGACCTCGAGAAATAAAAATATTCAATATTATAATAAAATTAACACATCATTTAAGATTTTGTTAACTGTACCAATGTGATATTACTGTTACATAAATTATGTATGCATTTTTTAAATGCGAGATCTTTTCCGTGAATTAGTCTGATTGTAATAAGATCAGCAAGCCATGATTACAGGTAAATAACATTTTATTTTTTTTATGCTCTTAAGCAGTTGTTGTATTTTTTTATGCTCTTAAGCAGAAGAGATAATCAGAATTATAATGATTATCTCTTCTTACAACATTAATTTTTACATTTAGATCACAATTAGAGCGGACACTATCTCTACATCAGTATTACGACTAGGTTACACGTTTACCCACAAAGAACATACACGTGTATAGGATAACGTACTATACTCATAACTTGTCTGAATCTAAACTTCTTTAAATATAAAGATCAACTGAGATTTGTTTGTTCCATTTGAAATAAGTCAAGATTATCAAAATTATCACTATTAATTTTGAAGCTTTATGTAAGTAGAACATATTTATAGAATAAATCTTCTTCTCGACCCCAAGTTTTTCCAAAACAAATTTTAAATAAAGACTAGAAACTAAGTTTTTGAACCTTTCATTACAGTCTCAAATCTGGAGGAAAAAAGAATAGTACACAAAAAAAATGTAAATTGAGCTCCGTATTCAAATCAATTAATCCATGGCAACTTAGACGCAGAAAAGGAGACAGAAGAAGAAGAAAGCGATAGAAAGCTTGATGAGATTATTCACTGGAACCCACTCTAATGATCAATAATTATAATCAATAATGGAGTTCCAGAGAAATCAGTCAGCAAAGCTCTACATAGTACCAAACGACTAATTTACTTTATAGCGATACGATGCTTAAAAGTTTCCTTTCCCAACAACAGTCCAATAGACTAGTCATTCAAAACATTGTATAGAGTGCTGAATTATTTAGACTGGAAAAGCCAAAGCAACGGCTGGCCTTCGATGACTTAGTGAAAAAGATGAATACTCGTACCTAGTGAATAAAATACACTAAGATTATAATTGAAATCTACAAGTAGTACTTAAGTGTAATTTTTCAAAGTAAAATATGTAATATATTTATATGAACAAAAATGAATCTTGTATACAATTAAATAACTTAAAAAAAACGTGGAAAGTAGTAATTATATGGAAAATTATAAGTGGAAAAAATTCAAAATGGGTTTATTTATTGAATATAATTTGTTAAATAAATTCTTCTTCTTCTACCTGGCAATTTCCCAGCTATAGCCAGGGTCTGCCTTACTTGTTGTGAATAGTTTTTGGCTATTTGTTTTTACGACCGGCTGCCTGCCTGACGTCAACCCTCTTTTGGGAATCAACATTAATCAGTGATGTCTAAATACTCTTAGAAAGTACATATGATTCGGAAAAATCACATTGGTACTTGCCCGGGCCAGGATCGAACCCGCGCCCTCGGCAACGAGAGGCGGGCCCTTTAACCACTGAGCCACCACTGACTTAAATAAATTATTTTCAATAAACTGAAAATTGTTTAAAGAATACAATAATTATAGTTAAAATATTATTTAATTATAAGATTACAATTTTGTAGAGATTAATATTTCACAAATTAGACAATATATGTATTCCCGGTAAATATCCAAGAAAATCCTTTAAATAATCTTAAACATAATCTTTTAAAGTGAAACCAGATCCAAATAGAATAACTCTTTCTATTAAGCGACTTAACAATGTCTATTTTTTATTTTTGAAGTCATGAATACATACATATATCAATAAAAGATTTCATTTATTAATCAACATAATTATTATGAGGCATCATATTTAATTTGACAAAAAAGTGTAAAGAAATTGTTTATAGGTAAAAAGATAAATTCACGTCTCAAATAAAATATAAATTGTTTGTCACTGTAGGCCCGTTTACTCGAAAAGACGAGCCAATCGTAAATCGTACAAGGTGGTAACATTATAACAAGTTCGTTAAGTATGCGATCAATTTGATGATAGGTTGGACATCATAATACAGTAGGTTTTAATTGTTCGCTTTCCGAGTGTACGTTAATGCAATAATTCATTTGTACATTAACATTCAATATAAAGTTTATTTTATGGTTTCTATTTTCTATTATATGCACTCTTCTTCTACCTGGCAATTTCCCAGCTTTTAGCCAGGGTCTGTCTTACATGTTATGAATAGTTTTGGCTAATTGTTTTTTTACGACCGGCCACCTGCCTGACATCAACCCTCTTTTGGGAATGCATGAATCAGTGATGTCTAAATACTCTTAGAAAATACATATGACTCGGAAAAATCACATTGGTACTCGCCCGGGCCAGGTTCGAACCCGCGCCCTCCTGCATGAGAGGCGGGCCTTTTTAACCACTAGGCCACCACTGACTTATGACTTTCTATTATATGCATTATTTAAAAAAATATTTATGTAAGTTAGAAGTCCCCACTCATAATAACTGAAATGGGACTATTGTTAAATAAAGAAAAATGTTTTGCAATTTGTATGATTAAAACTTTTTCATTACAAAATTTTTTTTTCTCTTTAGTTCTTTAGTAAATAATTATTTTTTTCCTTTTTAAAAAAATAGAACAACACTTGGCTGTTATTATAATTAATGGACAAATGTAGTAAAATATTAATATATATACTAACTCAGTAAATCCCTTTTCACGTTTCCTTTCAAGACCTCAAAATTGTTAGTAAGAGGAAACACAGATTCATACAAACTGAGATAAAATAGCGGTAAAATATTGATTTAGTCACACCTGACACAATTTGACAGTGTGCGATGTTTCATTGTACAACCAAACAGAGTCACCATCTTGTACCTGAAAATAAAAAAAATGTTGATCCTATGTATCTATGAATAGGAGGTTATATAAGTAAAATCTAAATTCTCATTTTCAATTGCACTGTAACAATATGGCAATATTAAGTAAATTAGTTATCACACAAATAGCGTCCGGGCTCAGTGATCACTTGAATATCTGGGTCCAGGAATAATTCCCGTATAGCATTATTTACCAGTTTGGCTACCTATAAATGGTAAAAATGCAAATGTTATAATTAATTATTAATCAACATTTATATTCGGATTTGAAAATAGTATTATTGGTGTATCATCAATATAAACTCGCCAAAAAATATTCGATGGTGCCTCTTTTATTATATTTATTTTATATTTTCTTCTAACAATTAGAACATATTGAACATCAACAATTATAAAAATCTGAGGTATTCATCAATTTAACCAAGTGTAAGTATCATAAATAGGTTATTTTGTTCTTACAACTAGAGATACAAATGTAATCAGATACCTTGTCAATCCTATCAGTTTTATCACTTAAGAATCCGCCTCCAATATCAACAATTTTCATTTTTATTCCGCCTTATGCTCGGAAAATTGTTTAACATATTGAAGTCCTAAGACATAACTATCTCACATAACAAACTAACTCACTTAAAGTATTTTTTTATTTGAATAACTTTATTAAGTACCTAAATAAAAAAGAAAGCTCCACGAAGCAAAAAAATATTTAATTTTTTATGTCGTAGTTTCTAAAAACAGAGGTTGGAAAAAAAATTAATTAACAATGATGTAACTTTTTGAAAAATCCCCAAAAAAATTTTTCACCGAATTTTTCTTTTGTTCAAGTTTCTTCATTACACCATAATTTATTAATATTTTAAAATTATTATTTAATATAAAAAATATTTTAGGTGATATACCGTTTTTTTAGGCGGCGAATCTCCGCCGTTACGCCCCCACGGAGCCCTATTTCCAGCGTTAAAATAGATAGAGTTCAAGGAGTGAGGACTTTTTTAGTAGAAATTTTCTCCTTTTTCAGGATCTTATTTAAATTTCTTTTGATATATATATTTTTTTAAGTTATTAACGAAAAAGTAAATAACTTCTCTTATTTTGTTAATAACAATCGCAATTTTTTATGTGCTAATATACCCTTATAAAATATTTTTCTAAACGTAATTCCGAATCGAATGAGCTATCGTACATTTCTTTAGGAGCTTTATTTCTATTTAATAGGTTTTTGAACATCTTGACTATATAGACTATAAGGCAAATGCACTTATTGAATATTTTTTTATGAATTATCTTTTATCTTGGACCAAAAGTTCAAAATAGAAAGATTTACGATGGATTGCATCCTAAAAATATATACATAGTTTCGAAATGTTTTGGGTTTGAAACTATACACTTAAATATTTTGACTCCAAGCCAAACATTCTTCTAACTTGAAAATTTAACAAACAAATCGAATCCAAAATAAT